GAGCACAGATATCCCTTGTGTAGCTTTGTGCATAACAAACAATTTTATTTTGCTGCTCACTTGGATTCAGAATAATAATAATAAATTTAAATATTTCCATACCGAAATAATGGTTTTAACAATAAATATTTGATAACATAAGAAAGTACCAGATTTAATATTCGGTGTTTTTAGGATGTATCTACACACATGGTGAGATGGCAAACTATCACGTGTTGCTTTTGTAGATGCTTTTGCTACTACCTAAAGCGAGAGTGAAATAATCCACAATATTTCAAAATTTCCCATCTTGTTACGTTATATGAAATAACACATATATAAAGAATTATTCCATGCGTGACTGATAGTATGTGTAAATACATAGGCATCTTCATGTTTAAATCCATCAAACTAGGACACGAATACAATATTAAAAAGCATGAATTAAAACTTCTCCACGACATAAAGCATTACGTATGCCATTGTTGGTTCTTGTTTCGTGTCTTGATTTGATAGATCGCTGGTACATTTAGGTAAATAAAACTAATTACAACATTTTGAATTTAATATTCCACTGTGTACACATATAGAACGCCAGTAACATTTGAAAATAAAATGTGGTGGTACAATTAGGTAAGTAAAACTAATTATAACATTTTGAATTTAATATTCCACTGTGTACACATATAGAACGCCAATAACATTTGACGATACGTTTCATAAACTCTATTCTATTTTAAGGTCAACATAAAAATAAAGAACGTCATCACTGTATGCTGTTGATGAAATTACTAAGCACAAAGCTACACAGTGGGCTATCTGTGTTCTGCCCACTACGGGTATCGAAACCCGGATTCTTGTAAGTCCGCAGACATACCGCCGTGCCACTGGGGGGCGAAACGTATCTTCAAATATTATTGGCGTTCTATATGTGTACACAATGGAATATTAAATTCAAAATTTTGTAACTGGTTATATTTCTTTATGACAGTGTAGAAAATCAGTGATAGAACATATAGCAGACAAATAATTCTCTATGTCTTTTAACTAAAGTTATATTCCATTATTTCTTTAATATTAGTTTCATTAACAGTATTGGTTAAAACGTTTGATATACATATAATATATTTATCTTTATCATTTATCATTTTATCTATTCTGTATATATGTTACGAAAATTATTTTGCATAGCTAACATAATGAGTTAGGACTAACCTAAATCTCCTAAACTTTTTAAACTTCGTGAGCTATTATTGGGATTACGGCCGAAAATTATAGATAACATCAAGGGCACCCAAATGATGAATCAGTGCATTCTAATTATTATAAATTTTTGTTTTATGACACTGCATATACGCAGTTAGACCAGTGTATTAAATAAGCTGCATTATTTATTGGGTTAATTTTTAGTTCTGATATCTTCAAATAGACTGATTTATTTAAAAGTTATTTATAAATATGTATTCTGTAATAAGATATTAACAAACGCTTTGAATCGTTTGTTACCGTATTTTTAAACCTTAAGAAAATATATTGCTTGTCTGTATTGTGTCGATAAACATTTAACATAAAATCAACAACACTACAGGTATTATCTTTGCATGGGATATTTAAAAAAGCTTGAAATGATTTTCATAAACATGTATTGTTATGTGTAAGAAATACTGTAAACAACTTAAAGAAAAAGTTTCATTTGTGACCGTTAATACTTCATGATATCCAACACAAAATAACGTTTGCCTATTTCATTAGATATCATTTCATTCATTGTTAGTTGTTAAGTATTTGGATAATTTAACAGACCTTGCTTCAGCTAAACAAAACATTGGGTATCTCACTGTACATGTATGTCTGCTTGTTTGCTCTAGTATTAATCGGATATATATTTATTAACTGTGAATAGTGGGAGTAAATATACAAAATAAATCAACGTACCTCTCCACAGAACACTCTGAAAAAATACAGAATGTTGAGTTTCGTTTTCATTTTTCTCACTAGAGAGGTGACATTATAATTACATTTTTATAGTTGACTATTGATCAAAATAATCCCTGCTTTCACTGAAGGTGTTTACACAGGAAGTCTGGAAATGTATTTCGTTAGTATTCTTACTGGAAATAAGCGAAAACCGCCCATACGCTGTTTAAAACTCGAAATCCTACTGGGCGTGGCCAAATTATTAACGTGTTCAGACTGTAGATTAGAGTATTCATGGTTTGGGGAACTATGCCGCAAAAACCCTGCACTTTACAATCGTAGGTGCGCTAAAAGAGTGGCAGTCAAATCCCACTATTTAGTCAGACTAAGTAAGGGCTGGCGGTGAGTTTGTTCCTTCTAGCCTATCAGTTGAAAATTAGGGGCAGATATAGCTTATATATATATAAGTAAGGGCTGGCGGTGAGTTTTGTTCCTTCTAGCCTATCAGTTGAAAATTAGGGGCAGATATAGCTTATATATATATAAGTAAGGGCTGGCGGTGAGTTTTGTTCCTTCTAGCCTATCAGTTGAAAATTAGGGGCAGATATAGCTTATATATATATAAGTAAGGGCTGGCGGTGAGTTTTGTTCCTTCTAGCCTATCAGTTGAAAATTAGGGGCAGATATAGCTTTGCTTGAAAAATGTGGGACAAACAAAAAACACTATGAACATCATTACTACTTATTCTGGTATCATGAGACCTTAGTTTAAATTTTCTCATAAAATATATCTTAGCTTCTTGCCCTGAAGATATGACAGAGTCTAATATCAATACTAGTACAAAAAATGTGACAAAAAAAAATCACATGATGCGTGTTTTACTTGTTTACTCTTTAAATCCTTATTTAATAATTCCTGATCATGAAATGAATAGTTGGTGCAAGTAATTAAAAAACCAGCTACTTTATGTACATGTTGTATGAAGTAAATGTTAATGTTGAACCACACAGCGAAGATTAAAGTCTGAAAATAAATTCTCACATTAGATGAAAATTCAGTGGAAGTCACACTTATATAACTGCTAACGATAATATTTTCAGACCTGTGTATACATATTGGTGTAGATGTTATTGTGTTAATATTATTTAGATGATAGAACTTTAGAGCAACAACACAATTTTCATACATCTCCAACACTTTCTTATTTAGATCCAAGCGTGGCTTAGTGATTACGTGTCAGACTGTAAGTGTAAGGGTCCATGAATCGCGTCCCGTTGCCGCAAAAACACACGCTCCGAACCTTGGGGCCATGAGTGCGTTATAGGAAAGACAGTCAAATCCAAGTAATCGATTATAACCTAAAAGTTGACGATGGATGAGCTAGCTAGTTGTCTTTCCTCTACTCTATCACTTCAAAAATAGCGATGGCTAGTGCTGACAACCCTTTGCGGAAACATCCACAATAAACAAATCTTATATATCTAGTTCCAACTACAGTTCTTGCAATTTGATGAAATTATAGCATTATATATTAATTCATCTGAACCTTCTGCCTTGTTCGATACACTGGTACGTATTTCGACAAAAAAAAACGAAGTTATAGACTTAAGATACAAAAAACCTATCTCCACGTAATACTTCAACAAAGTATCGATTTCGCTGACAGCATTTTGTATCACAAAATCACCTTTCATTCGTTTATGTATACCTGTTTATTCAAACTTTTTTGCGCATTCGGAGGTAGTGCCACCTGTGGCGTGTTATACATAGTGCAATTTATTAGTAAGCTTTACAAGCTCAACAAGCTTTTTTTCTAAAGAATAGTTTTCCCTCGGTGATTCATCGGTAAGTCAGTGGGTTTATAACGCTAAAAATTTGGTTTCGATACCCGCAGTAGGCAAAGCACAGATTGCCCATTGTGTTGTTTTAATATTTACAACAAACCATAGAAAAATTGTGTTGATCTGAATGAAAACATGTTATGATAATTAATTGTATCGTTAATGGGAAAACATTAATACTTTTTTAAGTGCGGCTGACAAAAATAGTTTCCAATATTTTGATATCTGAAGTAATGTGATTGCAGTTTTCTTAACAAATTTTGTACTTTTGTAAATAATTTGTGCGTGCTGTATTGCTCTAAACCTACCTACTGAGTCCCCCCCCCCCTGTGGCACAGCGGCATGCCTATGGACTTACAACGCGAGAAACCGGTTTTCGATACCCGTTGTGGGCAGAGCACAAATAGTACATTGTGTAGCTTTGTGCTTAAATCCAAACAACACAACAACAACCTACCTACTGAAAGACAAAGGCAGAAATGATTTCTCTGGGTGTTTTCGTAACACACTATTTCTTAACTAAAAAGTATGATTTTGTGCTTAACTACAAACAACAACAAAATTACCTGCTAGTTATAATCTTGTGCGAGGTAAGCTAATACTAACATTTATTTTTTCAGTGTGATCCAGCAGTAGGAATGAAGAACTTTTTTGATATGCTCTCCAGAAAACCACACAAAGTAGTTGTCCTCTTTGGTGCTGCCTGTACTGCCGTCACAGATCCAATCGCCAAAGCAGCTCAGTTTTTCCAGTTAGTGCAGGTAAGCTTCTAGTTAGTAAAGGTAAGCACGTACACTATAACACCCTCTGTTAGTTTACTGATATTAGGACTACTGGATATATTTATTCTACACGACGAATAAGAATAAAAACCGAAACCTATTTGAGTTATGGACATCGTGCTGTATATTAGTCAACAGGCGCAAAACGTAGGAGTTGATACCAATCAATTATTCATAAAGTATTTAGATTAGGTTACGTATTGCGGACAACCTTTAATGTTTTTATTTGGATATAAACGCAAATTATTTTATGGATTAAAGTTTAAAGCCACTAGAGCGCTTCTGAGAGACAAGTCTGATATATATAGATAAGTAGGAAAATTAAGCTTTAACTAGGATTTTCTCTCTTAAAATAGGAACTATAACTTAATAAAGACATCATATAATTGCTAATGTTCAATTAAACTTTGTATGGAAAGATATTATGGTAAAACAATCTAAGATTGTAGATATATTTCTCAAACATTGTAGCTATAATTTAATCAGATCATAATATTATGGACAGAGGTATTTTGTATCTAAACAAAGCATTTGTTATTCAGGACATTTTTGGTTGCACTCTATTCATGACGCTTATACAAATTTGCAAGTTGTATTGAAAATCTACCGATTTACAATTTCATAAACTCTGTCTGTTATTCTTTTGTGGTTTGATCCTTTCTATCTGAAAAATCTAATAATAAGTATTTTGCTATATAACACCTTATGCTGATGAAAAGTGATCTGTTTAGTGGTTCTATACTACGGGCCTTCCAGTAAGAAAAACATAATTGTACCTCTGCAGCAATTCTTGCGCGCGCACGCCGTTGCCGACGAGGCCTTTCGATCAATACTAGAATTCAGTCAATTACAATATCATGGTATATAACGTATTATGCTGGCAAAGTGTGATTTCGTGATTTTGTATTTGTGTGACATTACATCGCAGTAAACTGCATAAACTGATAATATTTTTTTTTACATATCATTCTTTACTGACTCTTCTTACTGAAAAACCTGTATCATAGGGCTAGTAAGAAAGAGTTATAAAACACTGTTATCAGTCTTAGTGTGAGGTAGTGCTAAACTAATGACTGATAAATAAATCTAACGATATCTTGCATTAAAAAGAAAGAGCTTATATCATATTTAGTTCTTGTTTTTTGAAGATCCACGTTAACTAAAAAAAAGCTGCGAATAAACAGAACCGCACCGAAATGATTGGATAAAGTGTGTGTGTAATGCCTGAAATAACATAATATTGTAATTATGCTCTTCATTTTTTTTTAGGTTATAAATTTTTATTTGAATTTGATTCCCGGTCAAAAAATTCTATGAAACTACAGGAATACCACAAGTGTTTAAGTTAAGGTTGTTATAGGAAATTCACATAAAAGGGAAATAATCAGAATAAACAAATAGTTTAATAATCTCAGTACAAAATAAAATATCTCCCAAACAGTAGGATCAGAGCTAACCCTTTACGCTAGCATACATATTTTAATATAAGAAACTAATAAGCTAAAATATTTTAAAACCACACACACACATGTTTGTATATATATATATACGCGGACAGCGGGAACGAAAAATGTATATATGATATAATAATGCAAATGAGTGTTTATAATACGATACTGACACTAGAAGCCCTGCCAGTTATTTGGAAATTTGTACTTTAACGAAAATTACGCACTTTCTATTCAGTATTTCTCGCTGCACGAGCTTTTAATTGAATATTTAATTAAATATGAAACTTGGCGGATGATTAACGCTTCACATTTGCAATACCGTCATTGAAACGCCGATAAAATTAGCTAATAATATAGACCCATTGAGAACAGACAACGTAACATGTGACATTTCTCTCGGCATCTGCGCGAAATTTTGTTGCTGAGCATATCATTCAAAAGTTATATTTCAGAATATGACACCCGAGGTATGAAATACATTTGTCCAGTGTAAAATAGCACTTTCATAAAACCATAACCTTGTAAGTCCAGAAGTGTTTATGAACCATGTTTATGAAGAAATTAGATAAGCTAATGGGCTTAAGTGTCATTTTAAAAATGTAATCTTCGGATTGTTGTAGATTATAAAAGAACACTTGTAACAAGGACGTGTAGTCGAAGGAGCTATACAATATATCCCTTTAGGTGGATAACTCATTAGTTTTACATCGCTATCCAAACACTATTCCTGTTCCAGAATCTCTTATGGTCTCTGTTATCGTTGTTGTTGAATTGATAAGAGCCGCTGTTGGTCATGACAACAATTATCGGGTTATAACGATGTAGCTAATTTGGCCTAATTACAGTAATATATATATATATATATATATATTCTACTTTGTTCTAGTAAAAGCAGACTTTTATTACTTTTCTACGTGGAAACATAACAGAAGATAAGAAATAGATTGGCAAACCAGCAGTTCTATTGTCGTTATTAAGATTTTGAATTTATTCTTTGTAATATTAATCGACACCTGGTATTAATAAACAAAGAACGGAGACGAAGCTTTCATATTTCATTTTTCGAGGTGCGGACGCTATATAATTAGGCTTACAATATTTACTTTCTACATCTTAAAATCATATACCTATTATAATTAATATATGAGCTTTTTATCTCCTGTATGGATAAAATCCGTTAGCAGTTGGAACCTTTCCATTCTATCAACTACAGGTACGTACTTCTCCCTGTAAGTAGACTTGTTATATTGTATTAATAAGTAAAGTACTTCTTGAAGTATTTGTTTGAAAATATCACTGAGCAAAAATAGTGTTGTTTGTCTGTTTGTTGTTAAGCGCAAAGCCACACAATGGGCTATCTATGTTGTGCCCACCACGGGTATAAAAAACCGGTTTTTTTGCCTTCAGACTTACTGCTAAGCCATTGTGGAACACAAAAATAGTAATTCAACTAGAATTTTTTCACAAAAACTTATTTTATAGTAAATCTATTAAAGCCATCAGAGCAGTGCTATGAAAGCTTTTTGTACAAAAAAAAAAAAGAATCACTAGATTTACAAAACTTTTAGTGTTAAAATCAATACAACAACCTGAAAAATATTCGCATTTAACTTTGCAACTTACATCATTAATAATATTATTAACTTTCTATATATTGAAAGCTATTTGGTTTCATACCAGGAAAATAAGTATATTCTATATTAACATTATAATTGTTTTTACAACGAGCTAATACAACCTGATTTTTAATAGATGTGAAAAACAGATATTTTAAGAAAGAGGACAATAAATAGTCTTCAGAAGAACCAAAATCACTGAATTAATAATTAAATTTTAAACTGGCTTATGAAAATATTTGGATACATCAAATATGGTTTCATAAAGATTACTGATGATTTTACTTTCGAAATTAATGATTTTGCGAAGGTAGTGTTCCGTTTTGAATCATAATCAGAAAACATATATTTACAAAACTTTTAGTGTTAAAGTCAATAGAAAAACTTTCAATAAAACACATCAATAGGGTAAATCTTTAATAGTGATTTTGCATACTTAACATAAATGAAATGTGCTTACAATTCAAAACAGATAACGATTAACTTCTTCACAAGCTTAGGAAAAAACCGATGATAAAGAGATTAACTAATAAATGTAAGGAGGAGAGGTGTGAAGCAATTTCATGCAGCCTTCATAAACAAGCTAGGCAGTATCAAAGCCACGTGCTCGTGCTCGCTCAAATATACAGTATGATAGAGCTGATTACAGCTTAAGCTTGGATACCGGAAATTACTTTTAGTAATGGATAAACCAAATTGCTCTGCTAAAAATAGAAAATTAAAGAGACTTCTAGAATGGAGTTATTTCTAGAAGGTGCAAATTTTACCCTATGCAAGAGCTGGAACCTAAAATAAAAAATACAGCATCAAATCTGATCATACCAGCCAATATAAAAAAAAGTTTATTTTAATGAAAAACATCTGAATTTTATAAACAATAAACAACAGTTGGAAAAGGAGTAAATGTCCAACCCAGATTGAATATAATGTATGCTGTTATAAAATTTGTCTAAGACGGTAATTTTGTCTATTTATTTAAAAACAACAAGCTAATTGTACTGTATTAACATGAGTTGGTCTTAGAAATTCATACAGAACATTATTGATAAGTTTGCATATATTCTAAATAAGTCAAAGTGAATTCTCTCGACTGATTGACGTCTGAAAGCAAAGCCCTTCATTGGCACAGCAGCATGTCTGTGGACTTACAACGCTAGAAATCGGGTTTCGATACCCGGGGTAAGCAGAGCACAGATAGCCCATTGTGTAGCTTTGTGCTTAATTACAAACAAACAAACAAACTGAAATCAAAACAAAGTCAAATTTGAAACGTTTTGTATTAGCAACATATAACAAGTGTGTGTGATTTTTATAGCAAAGCCATATCGGGCTATCTGCTGTGTCCACTGAGAGGAATCGAATCCCTGATTTTAGCGTTGTAAATCGTTAGACATATAGCAAAGTACATAAAAGGTAAATATCTATAACGCTCTCGTTCTCGAAAGCAAATCACATGTCATTTTCCGAGATTAACGAACTAAAATATCCTGTGAAAAGCAACTATATAAACATAACGTGTTTTTTTGGCATATTCCATAATACTTATTAAAATATCTAACAACTGTATAGTAATTTTCTGTTATTTACACAATATAACATAAGAAGTGATTTAAAAGTTTAAAATTATCTTAACGTTATAATTCTACAAGCTGAAGCACCCGTCTTATGTCCGAGGGCATTAGGATTGAATGTATGGCTTGAACTAATAAATTAAATAAGAATTTCTATTTACATGCATACTTTATTTCACACATACTTTATTCACTCCTATTTTATTTCACACTTACTTTATTCCACATTACAGAAATGGTGTTACAATCACTTTAATTTATTACTTTTACTAATCCTTTTTTACAACCTCAGTGTTTCTTGAAACTCTGAGTGATTCTTGATAAACCACATAAGAAGTTCT